TGTCACTATAACCATTCCTCTAATGTAGTTGACTAAAAGCAATCAGGCTATGTCCACATAAAGTAATTTTAGTCGATCAAATAGATTCCACGAAATACCATACGAGTGTGCCACGCTAATCAGTAATATCATAATGAACAAGTCATATTACTCAGAAGAAAAAACTCCACCCTGCTACCATAATGAGAAGGTGAATATATGGAGATCTTAGACTAATATTGGTGCTTATCACTGTGTACACCATAGATTCATGCCACTAAATTTATTCCTAGCATAATGTTCTAGGAGAAATAAAGTGAATCTAAAGGTCGATAGAGTAATTATTGGAATAACCGACAAGATTTTTAAATTTCGACAGAAAAATAACCTAATCCGCTAGTTTTCTAATTCTTAGGATTAAGGACATTTGAATCTGAAGTCACCTAATGCACGTCCTAATCAGTTTCAACATAATGTGTGTCGAATACAGTGGTCGTGATATGCAATTTCACAGAAAAACCATCCTCAGATTATTTCTGTTCAGTAATTCGTTAATTCGCTAGTTGGGCCGAAAATGTGATTTAGTTAGATAAGAAATATCTTAGTCGTTGGACAGTTAAAGGACTATGATGTGAGAAAAGCATCGCACATCACATTAATTCTTACTTCAACTTTCACGTTTACATATCCTAAAAAGCAAATTGTAATCAGTATAATTATGATGGTCGACACTCCAATAGCAAATCTTTTCCTTGTTGAGGTTACGAGAATCCCTCATATTCTAGAAGGATTTTTGGTAATTTATTTTAAAAATAATTCAGTATATTACCAGTGACTACCAATAACATAAATGAATTTGGTTAATTTAAACCCTGCAACGTGGATTATAGTGTTCTTATTGATCTGTTTCTTTTCGCTTTCACTTATTTCCCCATTCTGAGTTAGTTATGTATTCATTTAGGTTAGTTTAGTGTTCTTGTGACAATCAGTTGAACTGCTCATCAATACTTGTGGTATTCTAGCGGAAAGTGTTGCATGAAGTGTGATCACCAATTACATACTTCTCAGAATCCTATTAAACATAGCAATCTCCACACCCAGCGTTTTATTATGAGAGACCCTTTGTTTACAGTTTTCTGCAATCCTCATAGGGAAACGTTTGTCAGGAAACACTACTTTCAAGATTTTGTATATATCTGAAGGATAAGAGCCGTATATCTTATATGTCTCCCATACAAGTGCAGACAGCAGTAACCTGTAACTCACAGGTGATAATATAAGGGTTATTATTACCAGAAGTCATCTACGTCTACCCTTGTATTTAAATGAAAAACTAAAATCCTATTACTTTTCCGTATAAAATCTTGCTTGAGTTCACTGCTGAGATACCCAACACTACAAACCAACCTGAATCATATCCTTATCATTGGTAGGTAGTTTCATCAAAGTATCCTGTGCGTAAAAAGAGCTTGCAGTTAATCTGTTGATTAATTCAGATGTTCAATTTAGAAGCTTGTTAGGACTTATTTATTGATTTTAGGTACGTATTCATCACGAAGTGACATCAGTTGGAAAACCACTGAAAACTTTGGAGCTCAGGACAGTTGTTTTGTTCTAGTATAGGACACCCTCAGCAGTGCTCACCCATGACTCTGTCAGAGATCGAATCCACTACCTTCAGTTTTCGAAGCCAACAAACTACATTGAGCCACTGGTTTCGAATTCAATGCTCCAAAGTTTCTTAATTCTGTCAATTTAGCCTCTGATGGGGTCATGGTTGCGCACTGCTCAGGAGACTGACACTAGAATGAAACAGCTGTCCAATCCTTCAAGGTTTTCAAATATTGTCCAAGTGACATCACTCAGTGATGAATATGGACTTGGAATCAATAATTTAAATAAATTGCATCTTTGAACTCATTGATTGAAATAATTAAGTGAAGTCTAACTGTTTCTGAGATAACAGTAACATTAGTAATAATGAGGTAATTAGTGGTTGCAGATATTATGAGTTTATACAATGACATTAGAATTTCCTTGGTTTCAGATTTATGTCACAATAAAACTTTATGGTGTATTTCATAATGTCAAGTAGTTACTGTTTTATTACTATGCAAATATTTTGAATAAATTTTATGAAAATGTGTAATTTACTATCTTATTTCATCATAAAAGAAATGTCACATTTTTATGATGTCCTGCTTCATGAATACAGGGGATATGCATATGCCTTACTTTAGCGTAAGAAATGATTGTTTGTGCTATTTCAACTGCTAATTTTATTTTTCCAAGTTTGTATTCATCATGGACTGACATCAGTTGGAGAACAATCGGGAACATAGGAGCAATGGACAGCTATTTCGTCTTAGTATGGGACTCCTCAGCAGCGCACAATCATGATCGAATCCAGGACCTTCAGGTTTCGTAGCCAGCACGTTACCATTGGGCCACTTGATTGGAGTCCAATAGTCCATGTTTCCAACCCCTGTTTTTCTATTAGTAATCAGGTGTAATCCCAATACTTCTAGAATGTTCTGCAGAAGATTCAGCTATTCCACTGAAAGGAACTCGTAAATACACTTCATTTTCATCAGTTATCATTGTTGATTAAATTGATGTGATTCATAAAGAACGCCTGAGTAAGATAATAACTGAAATTCCAGAACCTTCATATATAATGACCTTAACTGTTAGATATTTTAGTCATAAAATCTGATTCACGGATTTTAAAATTTACTCCAACGACATCAATATCTTTGGCTTGACTGATTTGCAGCTTATGGTTAAGGCACAAATGTACGTAGTTATCACTGGTTATGCCTTGTAATTTTCCTTGTCACTTTATTTCGATTATACCGATTTAAGAAATTACTTATTATTGTACCGACCGCATTTCTTCGCAAAACACCTAGAAAAATGAAAATCTCTTACACACAGTTTTTCTTTTTTTAAACTTACCAATTTACCCTTTATTTTCTTTAGCTTTGTTTTGGACGAATAAAATATACGCCATGTGATAAACTCTTTACCATCGTTATGGGATTAAAAAATGTTCTCACAAAAAGAATCATTTGAGTTCTTTGTGTAGTCCTTGAGTAGTATAACAGGAAAAGAAATAACTTAATATTACTCAAAACTATTTAACTGGGTGATTAGGATACAATAAATCTTATAAACGCAGTGCTAACACGTTTAAGGCAGTTAATCATAACTGCACTCTATAGGCAAGCATCTCTAGGTATAACTTTTAATTATCTTTGTAGTCCGTTAAGAAGTTAGGCAAAAGTCGCTAAACAATGGTTACTCTTTTCAAAACTCTATTCTGGTATCTTACTTCATCAATATTCTTATATTTTAAACTTATTTCGATCAAGATTTAACCAGATAGTTCCATTATTATTATCAAGCAACTGAATGAAAAAGTGACAAGTCATATTTGTATTGATCTCAGTGCGTTTGCAACAAATACTTTCAACGTTTCACACCGAAGTCTATTCCGAGAGTCTCCCTACAAATAGCAGCAATAAATCAATATCATTTTGTATTGTAGCATATTAGTGCAATCTTTCTTCATTTCAACTCTCCATGTTGTCAATATACTTATGTTGTGGTGTAGTAAAATCAAAGAATCATGCAAACTCCATTTACTTTGTAAGCATCACCTTTGAGCTTAGTTTGTACTATCATCTATAGGGCTTGTTAGACATATAATTTATACACTTAGACAACCTTGAGATAAAAGTTTGTTCAGCGGTATTATATTCGTCATCTTCTTATCTAATTGTAACTATATGAATCGTCACCAATGCAGCTGACCTCATAGATACCAGGAACTCTATTGGCTTTTGAACAATTTTCTCAAACTATAAATCATCTATATGGAGATAAGTATGCGCTCCACATATAAAGAGAAATTACATTCATAATTCTCTTCCACCTGTACAAATGAAAATTACTACAAAGAAACCTCAGATAGCTACTTATGAGGTTACTACATTTTTAGGTAGTATTCGTCAACAACGAAAATCATGTAAGGAATCAATTAAAACCTTTCAGCACTGAAAGGACGTTTCGTCTTACTGTGCATCTCCTCAGCAGTACGCATCAACCATTATCTCCGTCCCAGGGATCAAGCTTAGGACTTTCAGGTCTCGTAATGAATGTGTTCACCAATCAACTACTGAGTAGGAGTTCAGTGGTTCACAGCTCCTTACTTTTGTTAGTTCGCGATATAGCACGAAGTTTTCTGTTGGCATCCGCTTCCCTTCAGACTGGCTGACCCCACAGGTCACGCACGGCTTCTCATTAGAACTTTGTGACATTCATCTGGAAGCATGTCACTTATAAGCACTGTGCCGTAATGCAGGTTGAATTTTACATGGACTTTATTTTAAGGTGATATTTGTTATGGATTGACATCAGTTGCAGAACCATTGTTACTATTTGCCTAAAAGATTTTTCTGTCTGCATCTGAAGAGGTCTTGCAGATGAACGAAAACCTGCATTCAGAAGATCATCACTAAGATCGGCAGTCTGTAAATTTCCTTAACACCAACTAACCCTATTTGTTAACACTGTACCGGTGAGAAGAACGTTTCTTTCAATCTTTCAAGTTTTGGTTAAATGAGCCTTTGTTACTTTTTTCCCACTGGTGACTTTAAAAAAGCAATTTTCATTCCCTATTTATGTATTAACAACATGTGACAACGATTTTGGCAACGGCTGGAATATTTGTTAATTTCATCTTGATTATGAAAGTTTTGAACTTGAGGGTTGAAGGGTAGAAGATTGAATGATTTTTCAATTTGGTATTCATTCCAATGTTCCTCTAAATGATAACAGTCCATGGTGGATGCCAATAAGAAAGTTTAGTCAAAAGTCATTTGAAGAATAAATCACCTGACCATTGTGAATTATATCATGATCACACTGGATATTTTTCTAAATATTTTGCAAATGAATTATTCTTCGTAATATTTTATTTTGCCTTTGTCTAACTTGTTTGTTTTCTCTGTTAACAGGTTTCTTACAATGTTTATGACAACAGGAAGTGGTGTAAATCTACGAACATTAAGAGCTGTACGAGTACTTCGTCCACTCAAACTAGTATCAGGTGTTCCAAGTAAGTTCCAGAGGTTGATTCTGCATTCTTGTGAAGTGTAGTTCACAAGCTGTTTCTAATAGAAGTAACCTTTTATTCCATAGTTTTTGAAAGCCACTGTAAGGGACTGAAAAAATGACCAACTTATCTACGCTGACGGAATAACTTGAAAACCTAAATTGTTTGTGAAAAAATAGTCAGCAGACGTAAGGCAGCAATTCAAGACCAGTTAAAGAAGCGTTGCAGCTATTAAATATGAACTTAAATACTATGAAGAACTCCAACTCAGACCATCTTCTGTTGATGTTGCTTTTCACCGCCGGCTTACTCAAGTACTTCGAAACAACTTCATGTAAATGCGTCGTGAAATGAAGTACAAAGTATATAGATTTAATTGTTTGGCGACTTACACTGAGTACAGAAATATCAAACCCCAAAGTTACTGGCAAGAACATATTTTCAGGTTTTACTAAGAAAATTCCAGCATGTAAGAAGCCATAATCAGAAATAAAAGTGTTTATACGCATCAATACTTTGCTTAAGAGGATTGTAAAAAAAGAGCAGTGATTCAATACTACAGTGGTTTTCCATTTCGTAATCTGAATGAATAACCCAATGAAAATCAGAAAACTATTTAGTTGAACAAATGAAAATGACTGGAACTGTAGCATTCGTAACTATTGAAAAAAGTGAATCAGAACAGTTTGGAGATAGTATTCCTCATGGACTGATATCAGTGGGGGAACCATCAAAAACCTTGGAGCACTTACCTCCTGTTTCATCTTAGTATGCGACTTCTCAGCAGTACGCACCCATGACCCGGCTAGGGATCAAAGCCATGATCATTAGGTTCAAAGGCGAACACATTAACCACTTAGCGATTGGGTAGGAGTTCCGTGGTTCACAGTTTCCAACTTCTGTCAGTTCGCGATATAAAGCTACTGTCACCCAAGGATTTCAGTTGGCATCCGCTTCCCTTTTGACTGGCTGACCCCACAGATCACGGCTTCTTAGAGCAACCGCTTACTAAAATCGAATAAACATACACTTTAACAAGTAGAAAGATGAAGTAAAAAGAGGTTAATCTCACTTGTGCAATTCACGCCCACTTAAGGATCTACTGAATGGACGAATTTAATTTAAATATTTGTCAAAATGCTCTATTGATACAAAGTGATGATTGAAGTTGAAATGAAGATTTAGACAGCGGCCGCATTCAAACCAGCTATCACTGGGTCCTATCAACTGAGCTAATAATCATTATGGTGCTCCTCTTCTCTAATTCAGTTAGATTTGGATTTAAATGAGAAGTCCTAGATGAGCAGCCAGTATGAGTACGATCACGCTGAAGCAAGGCGTTAAGAATTCACATGGTAATTGGGCAAAACGCTTGGTGAATGAAGTGGAATAAAAATCTGGTCAGCAGTATCGGACCGGAAACCCGGTGGTTGCTGGTTTGAATCCAACCGCAGCCCAAATTTTCTGTTTCACTTTTAATCATCACCTAGTATCAAGACTAGTCTGCCAAACCACGGTTATTTCAGATAGTCAAAATGAAAACGCTTCATTGTTTGGAGCGTTAACCTCGGTATCAACTTCGTAGGTCTACAGTGACCTAATTGATATGTGTTGCAACTTATTAGATTATGTCAGTAACCGGAATGAAGATAAAGTGATGCGGTCGAACCAGTTGACTCGAAAGGGAACTTCATGGCAATGTAGAAGAGTGTCCAGATGCATGTTCTTCGATATGTGACGTGATCAAACCCACATACACTAGGCAAGACACAAATAATGCACAACTACACAAAAGGTTTGATTAAATGTTAGTTAAGTGAAAATTGATTTTTAAATGTATGTGACTGAATGTCTTCAATATTTCACAAAATACTCCCGTATACATTTCACAGTCTCAAAGTCGGCATCCGAAGTTTCTTGAAGTTGTGTGATTACACTGATATGATTATGAGCAATAATTTATGCTCAAAACGTCATGAAGTAAATAATATTAGATCACTGTGTGTTATAAATCAAACAGACAAATCTAATTTGGAATTAAATTCTACCACAGTGCCCAAGTTTTACACCTATATTAAAGTCTCTTGAATGTTTACTTATTTACTCTATTGAAAAAGTATCTATGACGCTCCCTAGGCACCTAAGTTCCTCGTCATCTAATTAGTGATGTAGCTATTTTGTGTCACTAGCCAAATACCTGCTCGACGGAGCACGTTTACTTGTTTTCACTTGGTTAGCCTTCCTGCTTGTGGTTCTGATGGATATGGCATTTTGAGTCACTGTCTAAACGCTTGAGCGACGGGAATATTTAAGCCATATTCTGTTACTCACATGGTTACAAGACAGAACCCAGCTGGTCCAGCTGAACGACAGCCAAACTTCTTGTGGTTCCTACTGATAAAGAGATATCATTTCACCGCCTTTTCGTCTAGCGCTAAGGTGCTGAGGTGGAGACACCTATCTAAAGTGGGTAATGGCGGCGTTAGCCAATGTTCACAGACCTTTCAGGGTACCTAACCTGTAAGCTCAGGACGTGTCTTGTGATAATACGCTGTTTGATATGTCATAGGCGACAGCAGAGTGTGCGTGGCATAATGAAGGTCATAAACTACCTTCCTTCTGTATCCTAGAGTGGAGGGCTAGCAGAATCAAGTTGGCTGACGTGCTATTTCCCTGGTATTGGTTCCAGGTCAGTTAAGAGGTCCATCCTGATGATGGCACCAGCAGTCACTATAAAACGCTCAAGGCGATTGAGCTCGTCTCATCTCTCTTGTCTTGGGATCAGTCTTTGGAAGCAGTTGCCAAATGACTCCTGTACCTGGTCAATTTTCTGATAACTCAGCAGCCAGTTGGGGATGAAATGTATTGGTATCATCATCTAACTGCGGTGAGTTGGAGGTTGATATTAGTTGAGTAATCAGAGTAAGATAAGGCAAGCCTTACTGGCATAACCCTACCTCAGGTTCTTGAGCTTTCTTCGTCAGTAGGTAGGCGTGGTCTGTTGTGCATAAGGCTTAAATATATATGCGCTCAATTGAAAGTCGATCCTTTGGCAGGGGATATGGAGCTAACCTGAAAACAGGTAAAGTTTGTAAAATCGCAAAATTTACTCTAAAGTTAAAACTTTTTACTTGGGTTAGCCTGGACAGAAAACTTAGTATTTAACTAGATTTTATCAATGTATATTATCCTTTTATTAATTCCTTTTTTCTTACGTTGAAATATCACTAAATTCCTAAGTGAATTCCTTGAGTAATAGCAGTTAAAAGCAAGTTCTTCATTCATCTCCTTTAAGATAAGCAGCATCTACCTATCTGACCTCACATAGGGTTTGTTACAGTTTCAGTTTGTTTCATCGTTATCAATTATTCTTAAACGTTTTATACGGAGATTTCAAAAGTTTACATAAATTAATTAAATGATATAGAGTTGTTTTTCATCTTAGGATCGAACAGTACCTCTTAAAATAGCAAAAAATTGTTAAAGATGAAGTTTTCGAACTACAAAGAAGTGTTTTAAGGTCACAGGCAACTTCTCGTTTATGCTGCCAGTAATTAAAAATGTCTCCGCACTCATTCTTGAAGTAATGAAGTAATAAAAAAAGGTAGCATACGATTTTGGTGTCTAGTTATGATATCAAATCAGAAGCTTTTCCTACAGTACCATCAGATTTCAACTTTTCTGAGGATTGATTGAATTCAAGTTAGTCTTCGTCATGAACTGACATTAATTTGGGGACATTGGAAACCTAGAAATATTGGAAAGCTGTTTCGTCCGACTATGTGACTCCTCAGCATTACGCAAGCATAAAATCGCCAAGGATTAAACGCAGAACATCAGATTTCGTGGCGAGCATATTACTATTCAGCCACTGAGTCGCAATCCATTGAACTTAATATCCCTATATCCGTCAATTCACAGTATAACGTGACCTTCATTCAGTGTCATTCTTGAGTAACTATATTTGACTTGGTTTGCCCCACTGCTGCTCATTAGTAACCTCCTTCAAGATGAAATTTTCTGAAGTCCTAAGAAATTATGGCTGGTGGGGCAAACTAAGTCGAACGTGAGAACAAATACTTGACTATGGTACTGGAAAAGAGATGACGTTACATCAGCAATTAACAGAACCGGAAAGTTATGGGCTATTGGATTCCAACTCGTTGTCTCAATGATAAAGTGTTCGCCAAAAAACTCAATGCTTTTGGTTTCAATCCCGGTTAGGATTATGGATGCTCACTGATGGAGAGTGTCATATTGGGGCGAAACTGCTGTCCAATGCTGAATGGTTTTCATTGTTTCTCCATCGAATATAAATTCGTGGTGAATGCCAACTTGAAATCCACTAATTAGAGCAATTAAGTATGGATAAAAAATTAGCACACAATTTTCTGTAAGCTCTCCACTAATGTACCCCCAGTTTGATGAAAGAAAAAACATCAGGATTGATATCTATAAGAACAGGATGAAAGAGAAGACTGACTCCTCGTTTCACGACCATTCTTTGGAAACTACGAATCTCATCTCACTGCCTCCATGTTTGATATATAATATGTTGATCAAAGTTTTTTATCTTCAGGAGTTAGAGTTTGCTCACCTTGAGTAATGTTGACTTTATCACAAGTTCAACTGTAATTCTGTTAGGGTTTAGTGATTTCGAACTTATTCCTTTTATTGTTATCCCTTTCAAAAACCCTAAGTAAAAGAGATTTGCCAAACTTAAACTCAAATGAATGTACCAGTGAATATAAACACAGAACAATGTGTAAAATAATGAAGTTTATTTAATTTTTAAGGTTTGAGTATCAAGTTTGTTTATGGTGACAAAAAAATATTAACTACATATTGAAAAATTTAAATGTACCTCATACGACTCAAGACTCATCTGTTCGTTACTCAAATAACTTAAACACACGCCATTCAAAACAGATTGCTATATGTGACAAAAATTATGCTATTGCTTTTTTCTGTTTAAAATGCTAAATCTTGATATAGAAAAGGCAGCATACAACAAAGAGCTAAACTTTATTCCGATTAATGTTCCACTTTTAAGATGTCTTACATGTATCGTGAAAAGCATATGTTAGTACACCAATCATACAACGTTTTTTTGATAACCAACCGATTCAAGCATTATTTTAGTGATAGTAATAATACTGAAGTGATGGAAATTTCCTCGAAATGGGATCCCCACTTATCTAAGATTTGATTATCAAGTAGTCAAAGGGTTGGTTGGAATCCTGCCATGATCAAGGTTTTCATTTACTCTTCAATCATCATTTGATGTTAAAAATAATACAAAGTTGATGTACTGAAGATTTTGGCAATTATTTAGGTTTAATTAACAGTTACACCTTGACAACAAAAAACAAAGTGTGTAGGATAATTATCGAAAATGTAAATATGCCATGATAATGGGTACTTAAGATGGTCGGAATTTAAAAATTAATACTTTTCATCGGTCTTTGTGATACTTGCCTAGGTTATTGATCTGTACATAGCATATAGGAATGGAATCAAGTAGGCACTACCAGTTAATATTGAATACTGTAGATTTACACTTTACAGGAAACATAAAGCTTGTTTTAGACGAGAATACAAATGGATACCAATATATTTTGAGTATACTTATCAAGTCAAACGATCGGAAAGTTTCTTTGAGTTGACTAGAAATCCGAACATTTTTTTTCATTGTTTCATGTAGCCTGTCTTAAGATATAGGTATTCCGATTTACGGAAATAATTTAATGGAGGATGCAATCCCTATAAGGGTAAGACAACTGCAGTGAAGAAAATCTTTGTTTTCTACGAAACCATTCTCTTAACTGTGAATATATGGTTAAAAATGGTATTCACTAACTTTTAAGATCGTAGCTCATAGACTATTCACAGAATATATAACCTTTGCACTGTAATGAAACTTTTTGCTCGTACCGCACTTGATTGAAGAGTATTGATGTACAGTTCTTTCTTCCAGGCACTAAAACATACGGATTAGTATTCAATTAATTCTATAATGACATTTCCCATGGGTTATCGTTTAACACATTTGATAAGTCATCACCTTTTAAGGAAATGTTTGATACATTTTTACTCTAGAAAGCTAAAATTATCAACAGTATGACTCGATATTACCTTGCTTTCTCAATGATTTTCTGTTATTTACTACGATTTTCATTATTTCAGGCCTTCAAGTGGTCTTAACATCCATTATCAAAGCGATGGCGCCATTGTTGCAAATTGGAATATTAGTACTGTTTGCTATTTTGATTTTTGCAATAGTTGGACTAGAATTTTACTCTGGCGTCTTTCATGTGACCTGTTTTGAACAAAGTAAGTCAAACCTAGGCTTTAGTTTACTTAGTGGCTAACAGTAGGATCCAAAACGTATGTTTTGCATTATTTGTGACTCATCAGCTAGAGTTATCTTCACTCCAGTGAGAAGATCGAGTTGCCGGTGTGACTCGAATGCAGTACTCATCTATTCACACGCTGAAAAGAGATCTACTTGGCTAGTGAGACACCAGAGCTATTCCTTGTGCAATGAGTATCAGTTGCTGTTCATGGATACTTGTAATTTATGGTTGCTATAGATAGTCGATTTGTTTAGTCTCTCTCTAATCGAGTTTTGTAAACTCCAATATCTGTTTTAATGCTTATTTAATACTATTAGCGTGTTAATCAACATCAATATTCGCTTGAACGTTCCACTTTTGGATGACAGATTTTTACTTATAATCAGACAAAGTAAATAATCGTGAATCAATTCAGTAAAATAATTACCATTGGTCATTTGAAGCTTTTTAATTTTCACTTTGGAAATTTTATTAGACGGATAAACAGTATTAATATGCATTTATCATACCCATTTACTCAGGAGTAAAATTTTCATATGCTAAAATCAATCATAGTTGATCTCTATAAATTTTATGCACCATGTATGAACAGAATTTCTAATAACAGCAAAGGTAGAATAACATACAAGACAAAGGCTTGTCATTTAGTTGATGAAAGGCATCTCATAAACAGTAAAACAATTTGTTCCTTTTAGTCTATGAAGATTCATTGACCTTCACATTCTAATGTTTGTGTGTAAACAGTTGCCTGAATGATGCAACAATAATGCAAATTTCTTGCTTCGGTCAATATGGTTAACCATTATCATAAATTATATCCATAATAATAATCAGTTTGTTAAAGATGATATATTTTATACTCGATGGAGATGTTGAATGTAGCTCTCGTACAAGCTTACTCCTTGTATAATATTTTTAAGCATAGTAGTTATAGTATTTGACTAACAAACCAGCACTACAGACAAAAATAAGGATCAGCTCTTGTTAAGTCATTCTTTGATGTGATATAAGGAATCAGTAAAATTGCGAGTTTAGTAATTATTACTATTTATTGATAAACTTGTAATTCTCTATTATTTCACTGGACCGGGTTTTCCGACCTCTGTTGATATATGGGCTCCTATGTGGATGCTTGGGTATTACATGAATATTACTTATGATAATTTACTTGATTGTGTCTAACAGAGGAATTCAGGATGCGCGTTTCGTCCTATTTGGTATACAAAGCTGGCGAATCCTAAACAGAACGAATCTCGCATACTGGATTCCTGCGCTAGCCGAGACCAAGTAAATTATCTTAATTAATATCCAGGGAACGTCGTGGCATCCACTAAGGAGTTCATATCCCAACACAGGCCGAAAAATTCAATTTAGTGAGACAACGGAGAATTACAGGCATATCAATAAGTCGAAATAACCAATACTCGTTGAAAAGGAGGTGGGTATCGTAACTCAGAGGCCTAGTGGATAATGCCTTAGAGTTTGAAGAGATGAGCACGAGGTCCGAGTCTCAGTGGGAACAACACCATTCACTGGGGTTCAGGTACATCCAGCTGATAAGTCCGAAATAGGAAGAAACGTGCATCCTGGATTCCTTTGCTAGCCACAACCAAGTAAAAAGAGCTCAGTTAGCCAGCAATAAAATCTACTATCTGAGTTAACAATTTTACGAATAGTGAAACAATTTATTGTTGTGCTTTTAGTAGCCCACTGCCGTCTACCATGACGAATTTTTTTTGTTTTACTGTTAACTTACAAAACGGCAGTTTGTAATCATCTTAAAAAATGCACCAGATTATATTATACTATTTGAATGATTAAAACAATTTGAAAGAATACTCTTCGAAGGCTCAAGTTTTATCAGGCTACTAATGATTAAATGAAAATTTCTGTTATTGATATTAAAATAGAAAATTTTCGCACAATATTTTATGAAGTTAGTTAGTGTTTACTGGCTAAACTGATACAACCTAAATTTGATGCAGTTTTTAAGAATACTTGACAAAATGCTTTATAGTAAATGATTTCCTGAAACTATTTCAAACACCACTTTACATTTGATAACTTAAACCTGAAATCAAACATACACATACAATTATGCATAGGTAAAATTGCTGAACAGTAGTGAAACAGAAAGAAGCAAACGAGAAAAAGACAAACTATTATTCACTTAAAAAGGGAAACATTTTGTATAAAATTGTAGCAGGGAGAGAGGGAGAGATAAGTTTCTGGTTGAATGCAGAATCACTCTACCAATATACAAGTAGTAGAGAAATACACATATTTTGAGAATCCTTGATTTTCAGAAACACACACACACACGTACGTATACACCAACACTTGTGTTTGTAAGACACTACAGAATGCAAAATGGTTAAAGTTAATGTAACAGTGTCAAGTGTATTTAGTAGGTTAATCATTTAAAGTGAAGGGAAAATAAAACCTAACAAAATCACTGAGTGTTAATAAGAACAGCGACAAAACTGTCCTCATCTATCCCAGATAGTCTTATGAACAATCTATACAGGGCTTCTCCTCTCTAATTCAACCCCATTTGAATTCAGACGATAAGTCTACACTGAACAGCCAGTGTCATATTTAGGAGCGAACAGCTACGTATCATAAGTACGTATGACAGCTACGTAATACCCTTTGTGATTGAAGCGACACTGTGACCTGGTCAGAAGGTAGGCTCCGTAAACCAGTCCACAGAAAAGAGAATAGGCATCCGGAAAGATGTCAGTTTCAATCCTACCATGACATAGGTTTTTAGTTCACGATATAACCTTCATTGTTTTAATACTGTAAATACAATCTTTTAGGCAACTAATTTGAAGAGAAGCTTTCATCGTTTTATATATCGGCATCTGTAATATATGCAGAAACCTATATCGCAGTTAACAGACATATGAGTTTTGGTGTAGAGAGACTACTAATATAAAATATGATGTTCATTTCAATAGAACCAAAATTTAACCGGAAACTTTATTTCACTATGTGTGTTGTAGGAAAGTTTAAGTTTGGCTTATTTAGCATAGCATATCCTTATAGCCAGATCACTAATATTTTCAAAACGGAAAATCTACAGCCAGTCATAGTGAACTGCGTAAAAACTTCAGTATACATCCCTCCGATAACGCTTTACATGAGGCACACATTGAATATGGAATAGCATTTGTTTTTATATCATTTTTTTCTAGCTGATGATAAACAGATGAAAGGTGAACATATGTAACGAGATGCTTATTCTGAATGCTATTGAGCAGACCAAATTATTGACAGCTTTATGCTTCTCCCATCGCACCTCAAGAAATCTTTCAGAAAGCATAGAAATAAATATAAGCCACAGAAGTCGTAGGTTTTTCTTTCTAAATAGAAAGGTCATTAGGCTAGGTGAAGTGTATTTCATTGATCTAGAGTATAATTTCAGCTCAGTAAAAGCAACAAGTTGTAAAATACTACGTGATGTTTCCAAGAGCCATCAATCTAATCTACCTTTCTAAAAGGTATCCTTATTTAGATCTTGAAAACATCTTGACCAAAAAATGCAAAAACACTTCAGCAAACTATAGTGAGAGACGAAAATTTATTTGCTTTTAAACTACCTTCTTTATAATACCTGAAATTTAGTCTATATAACCTTTCAGGTTCTATTATTGACTGAAGTGAATTTTTTTTCGCAGACTAACACAATTTCGGGAACAACTTCTTAGTGTAGCGGGTTGAGCGTAAATTAATTTACATACTAGATTCCACTTCCTATGCCTACCTTTCCATAATAAGAAAAACTGAGGTATGGAATATACCATAGTTTTATTTTAGTCCTTGTCAGTTGATTATGAAAATTCGTTTTTACTTGTACTTTTCCTAGGTACACAAACTAGAAGTGCGCATAAATTCTTTACCTCTCTTTTATATATTCACTCCGTATATTTTTTAGATAATCCAACAGAACTACCAAGTTATATCCCAGATGCTCCTGGTCTGGTGCCTTGCCAACCTGTGGACTCCCATACACGACCACCAGGAGCCTTCATTTGTCCAAGTGGCTATGTGTGTAAAGGTTATTGGGAAGGACCAAATTATGGCATAACAAGTTTTGATAATATTGGATCTGCAATGTTAACAGTATTTCAGTGTATTACAATGGAAGGATGGACAGATGTATTATATATGGTAATTTTTTCCGCTTTTAATGCTTTGTTAGTTTTTTATTATTTATCCCTTGAGTTCCTAGTGAAACACGGAGCTTCACTAGCACGTCACCATTTCACTCTCTTGTCTGCACTCTCTTCAACCTGGCTTCACGACTCCCTCAAGCTTTCATTTCTTCTTCACATGATCTCCATGTCACCCTCGCTTCGGACGCTCATTTCCTCGTTTCCTCTTTGGATTCCACTAGAGGGTCTGACGCGTGATATCATCAAATGGTCTTCTCAGTGTATGTAAAATCCAATCTATCTCCACTTTCTTCTGAACATTTGTTGGGTGATTGGTTCTTGGTTGGTTCGTTCCCAGAGTTCCTTGTTGCCTATTCTTATTATTCTGGCTATCAGTATCGAGTGAGCGTAGGCGGCAGCTGTTGACGAATGTCTGTAGTTTGTTGGAAATGCTTTTTGTGAAGCGCCGAAATTCTGAACCACTTCACTTGTTAGTTATTTACAACTAAAATTATTTTTCAGGTTGGCATTCATCATGGACTGATGTCAGGCGGAGAACCGTTTGGAATCTGAGAGCAATGGATAGTTGTTTCATGCCAGTATTGGACTCTTCAGCAGCGTGCGCCAAAAACCCCACAACACGAAAGATCGAACCCAGGACCTGCATGTCCAGGGACCAGTACGTTAACGTTGAGCCACTGGGTCACAATTCATTGGTCCATATTTCTTACTTCTGTCAGTTCACGAAATAGCGCAACCTTCATCCAATACCCTTATTAAGTAACTATCCTTATGTTCAACTTGGTTGGCTCCACTTGTCACGACTTCCCACAGGAACTTCAGGAATCCCCCCACCCTAGCGAATTCATCGGTGCACAATGCTGAATGGTCCTCTACAGGAACGAAACAGCTGTCCAATGCTCCCTGATTTTCACTCTTTCACTAATTGATGTCAGTCTATGATGCATATTAACCTGAAAGTCAATAAATTCCTATAAACCTCAAAGTGAATTAAAATTATTTTGTTTTCCCGTCAAATTTTCACTTTATTATTGTAATCACAGACAATTACATCAATATGTCAATTCACTTTATAAAAACATGCTACTCAAAAAAGGAAATTGATTTAATTGACTGCAGTCATGGGAAAATAGTTCTGGTGATTTTCTGTTGTTTGTGCCTCATGATTAAGCCATCTAGCTCAGGCAGTTTGACACCATCGAAGTTATCCTCTGGAGCTATACAGTTAAACCAATCAATTCAGGCAATATAGGATCACCAAAATCACCCTCGTGGACTATAAACGTTCCCCATTGTGTTTTAATAATTACTTTAGTTTAACTGTTAAAAGATGAACTACAATTCACGTCATTATATTCCAGACATGAAAAATGAACATAGACAGTTGTATGCACTTCAGTAATACAATAATAAAAAATGTCCACAATCTCATATTAAAATTCTTACACGAAACAGCTGTCCATTGCTGCCAGGTTTTCACTAGTTCTCCAACTGATGTCAGCTTATCATAAATACTACCTTAGAATTTTGTTTCTTTATAAAATCGGAAAAAATTACTATGTAGCACTCCGTGATCAGAAAGTTTTCCACGTATTGGGCTAACCTACGCGATATTGAGCTATTTAAAAGTGTTTATTGAATTTTTAAAACCAAATTCAACACAAATAATACCACATAATATTTACAGTCAAAATGAAAATGCTATCCATAAATCAAAATTATTCTTAGTAACGCTTTAAATTTTCAGCAGTAATACTATCTTGATGATTATATGATAAGTCATATGACTATTTTGTAATAACAATGATGGTGTATAAGGCAAGAACCGATGATTAAAGTTAGATCTGATGACTGGCAGTTACTAATGTGACCTAATCCTCTTGAGAATAAAATGAATAACAGATATTAAGATGTTCTGAGTTAGAATTAAACATTTTAAAAGAAATAAAAGTTTTTTTCTCAGATTTAAGTCTATCATAATATGCTATTCAATGTTCAGATGGATATGTTAGTCACTCTCAGTCCTGTTTATAGTTTCATTTAAGTTTCGATGTCTGTGAATTATCTTCAGCAATGATGTATCTAAAATATTTCCCTCCGTTTAGTTTTACTTCAGTGTTTTTGTTGTTAGTACGAATTAATACTCTTTGTGAATACGTCAATCAACAGTGTTTGTTTTTTTTCTTTCTGAAAGTATTCAACCGGTTTCCGTCATGATTTCATCGGTTAACTGTAATTCCGGTATCAACATATACATATTTACAGAACTAAAGTGTATTTGTTCTCTACATTATCAACAAATACTCCTTTGAACTCCAATAGGGATTAGAAAAAGAAATAAAATAGAAGCATATTATATATATAGTTTTACTTTTAGGATAACATTAAGGTTGACATAATAAGAAATGATAGACGGACGGACATAATCAATGTAGGACCTCACAAGTGCACCGGCTCAACCTTCCATCATTCAAAGTAGTATGTGAAGATAAATTGCATAACAAAACTGGTATCAAAGTAGAAAAGGTGTATAGGAGAAGAGGGAAACTTGAAATGAAAATAAGTTAAAACATTCAAACTTCATTAGAAATCAAAGGGTGAATATATGTCTGCCTCTGTGACTGATTTTCACCCATTTTATCAAGATTTCCCGACCACTGGTTCCTATCGTCTCGGGGATCCCAACCAGTTAGTCTACATCTCTCCACGCCTCAGATCAACAGTCAAAAAGTTCACGTAATGGTGTGACATTTTACTATGGCCAATCTAAACCCTCTTTCTTGACAGGCGCAGCACATTCCCAAGCGAACGTTACTTTGCCATGCATGCTAATAAATACTTAAATATTCATTACTTTTACAAAAGTTATTATTTGTCCCGCACCTATAATACGACAAAATCATTCCAAAGCGTTTTTACCAAGTTGGAGCTTTCATAGAACTTTGCCTACAAAGGACTGTTCAATTTTATGGGAACATAAATACTGATAGTCAGTGTAAAGTGACTGAAAGTTAAACAGTTCTAAGAACATCTTTATTTGCTGTAGCTGGTATTTACTTGATAACCTAACTAGGCTTTATCATCGCGTTTCTTCATTATTGTGTACGTTACGTCTATGATTCAAACTTGACTACATAAAATTCCATCTTTTTCCTTGACAAATTTATATAGGAAATATGAAATATTAGGTTCCGACCCACTGGCTCAATGGTAACATGCTGGTCGTGGAACATGAAGATCCTGGACGCTATCCCTAGTGCGGTCATGGGTGCGCACTGCTAAAGAGTCCCAAACTAGGACGAAACTTCTGTTCAGCCCTCTTGGGTTTCCAATGTTCCTCTGGCTAATTCTAGTTCATGATGAATCACAACCTGAAATTTTTACAGAGCAAGAACGACAGTTTTAACAGAATAGTATAGATTCATTTTATTTCGTCACTTTTCATCAGAAGTTGACAACAGGAAACAATTTTAGCATCAGTTTGTACAAATGCTTGTGTACTTGAATCATTATGATAGAAAATTATTGGCTTGGAGATAAAAGGATAACTCTGAAATATCGTTATTGAAGTGACATGAACTGAGTAAACAAATATGCAGAACTATTAGTAGTTCCAGTGTTATTGCTTTTATTATACTGTCGTTGATTGGACCAAAGTGAACGGTCTCTATTGGCATATGTGTTCCTGTGAGGATGCCTCGATATCGCCTGTGTTTTTAATTATGCTGTAGTAATAATGGATAGTAGCTAGCAGTGGAGTCCAGGATGCGCATTTCATCCTATTTGGGACACAGCTGGATGTACCTGCTTTGGCGGTTGTAGCGATTGGTCCAGAGTTCGTATCCTGGTGGGAACAGTATCACTCACTAGGAGGCAGGTACATTCGGCTGATGACTGTCAAATAAGACGAAGTGTGCATCCTGTATTCCACTGCTAGCCACTATTCATCAATACTACTAGTAGCTTTGCCAATATATGGAAGGAAAAGAGAAATGTTTCAGAGTGGAAGTTAGATAAAACGGAGAGATAAATATATTCAACATAGCAAGAAAGGTTGCACAAAATGTGTGTAATGAAGGTCGTAAAATTTATGTTAGCTAAGAATAGTTTTCTAGTTCTTATATAAATCGGCAAACTTACCATTAGTTCTGTATATTTATTCATCCAATTGTTGCTTCTTCAACTGTATCATATCGGTGTTGTCCAATAACTTTCTACCAAACTGACTCAAGTATGCAGACATTTGTGTAAATTATGCTGAAATCCTTTCAAGCTGTAAGCAACTGATGAGAAACGGAGGAATAATATGAATCTACACTATTCTGTTAAAACGGTTGTTCTCGCCCTACTTGAATCAAATATGCGCCAAAATAGCGATGTTATAATATTCTCCATTTCATCTTTTCTGTTATTACTCATTGATAACCTGAAAGTTCATCTACCCAAGGGAAAAATGTTATCGAGAATTAACTGGAGTCAAGTATAAGACCTTTTGTCTAGAAATGTCTGTATCAATCACGCTTTCAGTACATTCTTGTTGAAACTGAACATACTGCATTCTTGTTGGTGATTAGCAGTGGCCCAGTGTATAACGTTTTGTCGTTTCAAGTTATGGGTGCTAAGTTAGAGTCTCAGTGACAACACCATCACCCACTGGGATTTATGTACTTCCCTTGATGATGACTTCAAGACAAGATGAAACGTTTTTCCCAGATTCCCCTGCTAGTCACCAAGATGAATGCATCAAGAATGTCCAACAGTATCAAGGCATCAATATAGGAAACCATCTGACAACAGAAGCTGAGTAATTCGACCCAGAATAGCAGCGGGCAATTATAAGTCTCAAACAATCGAAACCGAATATTCTATTGTCACTGGAAAATGTGATCTATTAGATGAATAAATTAGTTAGTGAAGCGGCAGTCATCTTATACATCGGTACACCAATGTGATTTCTTAGGAAATCAAGATATCTGATGCATCGTTCTAAGATTTCATTGCGGAAAATGTGTTGATTTGAAATAATAAGAATCATTTTGTTGATTTATTTTTCTAGCTATGCGAAACTCCTTAAGATATAATGTTATCGTCAAAGTTGAATGAGGGAAGCCATTACTTTAAATAACATTCACTATTACCTTGCCTTAGCTTAATTAATCATTAAAGTTTAAGCATAATGTACTTAAAATGCACAAAATTTGTTTCTTTTAATTCTCTTTCTATGTTGCAGACTAATCGGACATATGGTTCACGTTTCAACTGGATTTATTTTATACCATTAATTGTCATTGGCGCCTTTTTATTGATCAATTTAGTACTTGGTGTTTTAAGTGGGTAGGTTAGATTGTATTTACCATGAACGCATTTATTTCAACTGAATATTTGTTTTAATTAACCAGTAGTATTTTACACGAATAGCTGTATATGTTTCAGGGGAAATGCGTTACTAACTTTTGTAAAAAGAAAACTTGAAGTTATACTGAACGTTGTACTCGTTTCATGACAACATGTTATGTGAATTTTCGAACTGTACAAGCACTGATTAACACTTGGCAGTGGAATTCATAAAGTTAGTTTCATTCTGTTTGTTAATAGTTAATGCCAAATTAACTTGTATTAGTGATCTTGTTAAAGCTATAAGCTTAGGGTTCTCGTTTCGAACCTAAGAATGCTACTTATTCGCAATAACCATCTGGAGGGGTCGTGGGTGCTGAGGACTCTTATACTGCAACGAAGCGCCTGGCCAATACTCCCAGATTTTCAACACTTCGCCGACTGATGCTTCTCCTTGATGAATACATACTAAAATCAATAAATCAATAAAAAGCTCCAAAATGAATTACTGTTCACTCCTCATAAGTGGCATGTTTCCAGATGCGATGCCCCAAAGTTCTGGTGAGAAGTCTTGACATGTTGGCTCGTCTCATTTGATGTGGGGGCAAATATTCACCAATGATATTGAATGAATACTGCACTACATCACCAATTAACGGCAACGGGAAAATCAGGACCGTTGGATCTGGAATAAGTGGCTCAACAAAAATGTGCTCGTTGTGAGACTTGATGACCCTACGTTTGGTTCTTGAAGGAGTCATGAGTGGGCATTGCTGAGGAGTCCCATGCCAGGATGAAACAGATGTCCAACACTTCAAGATTTTCACTGGTTCTTCAACTCAACTTCTGTGATATCAATAAATCTACATGAGTCTTCAAAGTAAATAATATCCTTGGACAGTCTGTAACACTCCACTGTTAGTTTATTGCATTCAGCTGACTGATCGTTATCGACATTTAAGCCTTTGTATGGATGCATGTAGACAGCAATGAAAACGTTGTTAGAGAAAAGTAACGTGATACATTAATGTTATGTACTACACAATGATGCATCTTATATTACACAACAAGTTAATTTGTTCATGTTTTAAATTTCCATATTCTACGTGAAACTAAATTTTTTAAATACGATTCACTACGCTCTATATTAATTGGCACAGACATCTGAGATAAGTATCACAATGCACAATAAATATTGTAACTGTCAGTCAAAGAAATTGGGAGTGATGTGTTAGAATTAATGAGATTATATAATATTATTAGTCAGGTCGTTAATAAACCACCTGCCATTCAGTCTCTGAGTAAGAATACAATGGTTCACAATCTATTTCTCTCAGTTTACAGTATGAAATCTTATCCACTGTAAGGTAAAATTAGAAAGTTGAAATAAGCCCATCAAAAAACTTTAGGATCAGAATAACTCTCTTCACCTCTATTTTATTTCAAATTGATGTATTCCAACATCAGATTATTTCTGCTGAAGAATACAAAGCTGAAAATCAATGACCGACTAAACAGACAGACTAAGCGGTAAATTTGTTCACCTTATACTTTGAACTTCGGAACGCATGCCCTCATCTTTATCTGGTATTAGTAAGCAATATTTTTGAGCATGATAACCTAGTTTCATCTTGATTAAATTTATTCATTCAATGATACAATATTTAATAAAGTACTTGCAGAATAAAACCTGAAAATAATCGTCTGATTTCTACATTTGCATACGTTTTAATAAAGTATTAACGGAAATTTTCAAACAACCATTCTTGATGTACAACAACACATATTAGTTGGAAACCACCAATCGTAAGATAGACGAAGTCAACTATGAATATTATTCAATGAAGTGTAATCTAACTTGCTGAGTAAGAGTCAGTCTGTCAGGTATTTCGATAAAATCAGCTGGAAATCTTAAACTCAGGTTTCTTGGTTTTTGGCTGTAGTCTACAAAGCATGCCGTTGGACTCGACAGAACTCATTTTCTTTTAAATATTAGAACACACCAAACAGGGCTATAACTAGAGAGACTAATACCAAGCTATAGACTGATGGTTATCGTTATACTTCACAAAAATGACTTATTGACCGTATTGTATAGATAGAACAAGTGAATTCTGGTGCAGTATTCTGTGTTAAGCAGGATACTTAAACATAGAATTTGCATGATCATCGATGATTTTAATGGTGAAAAAAACAACCAAGAATGATGTACTGGTCAACTATTTCACATGTGGAATCTGAGTCTTTTACTTCCCTTGTATATGGAAAGACAGTGGTGCAAAGAGAATGACACCGATCTTTCGGTCTACCAGCGTACGAGTGTGTTCAAAAATGCGGATGTAGTCAGCTTTAGAACAGTTTTTAAATTACAGGCGTCTTATTCTATTAAAATTTATCAAAACTTACAAAGTGACGTTTATTTTTATATACGTTAGTTAGCGTTACTATGTACTACACGTGATCTAATGCATATAAGTCTACATACGGTTGCATTCATACTTACTCCAGACTTATGTGAAGCGAGAACTAGTTTTGTTGTTAGTACCACTACATGCAATGAACCAAGAAAAACTTCTGCGTGGATCAAAATAAAGCGTTTCTTTTTCTCCAGACCTAGTTTAATGATGATTCAGAACTCACGCAAACGGGGGGTATGTAACCGTTCTGGTCATTCACTGTTTGGCAGATCTCCTTAAATACAACAATTATTAAAAGGGAGGATCAGTGAGGTTTATTTAATAACCAAGCTAATGAAAATGAATCCTTGCTCCGCCTATAAGCCAGAATTCATTTCATCCAGTTAGGTCATTTAGAAGGCGAAAATAACTGATCACAGTACATCAAATCAAGACAAGAGGAGTACATTTAAAGTGTTGATGATTTTCTCTAACGAAAAAGAAATATGACTTTAAGACTGATTAATTTGACATGTCAGTGAAAGAAAGCAGAACAATCTACCTAGCACATTCACGTTGCAGATTACTCAAATTTCTGATTTATATGTGCTGCTATTAAAACTCATAAACAAATGCACCCATTTGGTCAAAGTATTTAAATGTTCTTGATGAGCCAGTGTACCTAATTCTAACTGGTGGAGCCTATTTAATTAACACAAAATACTATCTGACAGTCTCTGCTGTAATGTTATGTAAGCATATCTTTCATCACAGTATATGAATTGAAGCGATTACCAGTAGATTAGGTAGTATACCGTTTAAAACAGTTACCCTAGCGCATAGTGAGCCTCTTTACTTTGAGATATCTCTATAATATCCTCGACATTCTAGAGTACGTCAAATCATTTAGCAAGATCGGAGTGCTGTCTCATCGAAGGAAGTCTGAGTACGATATGTAACCGAAACGTACTACTAAAAGGTTTCCACAGTTTGTTCATTAAATTAAATTGTGAACAAACTTCAATGAATTCGGATAGATATGCATTGTTTAAATAACCAACATTGCAAGTAATATGCAAAACATGCTAGTTGTTGAAACCGGCTGCTAACACCATAGAGCCAGATCTACAAAATAAGAAGAGTGCAAAGAAACAGTAACTTCCTGTAAATTCATGTTTTAGCACCTTTTTCTGTAATGAAATGTCTATTGGACCATACGTACCTACAGTGTTAGCACTTAATACTGTTTACTTAGAAGATGACCAGTGTCAAAGAAGAGGATGACCTACCGAAGACTACCACTTTTAACGCTCGACGTTCTTGGATGTGAAATTAACTTATCAAAATTTCTTCCCATTTGTTCACTTGTAAGAAAAGACAAGTGTGAGAAGCAGGACAGAATGTTTATTATGACATCTTGTACGGTAGAGACATAATACTATACACTTTTCATTAAAACAGTCGTTTGCACAGAGTGCTACATTTCCTCTTCTGTTTCTATCTCCACTTGCTCTTAATACGCTCAGACTGTCTCCTGGGCTAAATATTTAGCCATCACTGGTGACTGCCTGTGATTTATGCGGACCTCTCAACATATGCTGCCTGCATCCATTTCTATCAGTAGCATCTATTAATGTAGTAATTAAATTAGTTATATTGGGAATGTAAACTACAATGAGTATGCTGTAACTCAAGTAACTTTAAAGTTAATTTCAGTGATGGTAGTCAGGTTAGTTGCAAACTAACGGAAGGCTGTAAAACGTTCTACGTGTGTCTTCGAACAGTCATTATCATTTGATTTACATAATATCTGTTTATCTAATATTGCATATAGCGATAAGGTATTTTTCACTAAACAATGTTTTGAGCTGAAAATATGGTTTAGAATCATTACAAAGAAACCATACAACTTTAACATCTTTCTATGGTTCTTTTAACTACCACTCTTTGCTTTTATCGTCAGTTTTGTTTTCGTATTTCATGAATTTAGGTAGTCACCATAAGGGAGACTGATTGCTGAATATTTATGCATCAAAACAGCATCCAACACATGTAAAAGAAATAGTGCAACATTTATTTCGTAAACAGGAGAAACTATACTGAGAAAAGAAAAAAGAGACAAGAAGTTTACAGATTCATAAACAGCAGAATTCGGTAGTTATGTGGTTAATTTTTTTATGGTTCTGAAGAATACTTTTCTTTTACTTGAGGCGTTATTCAGCGAATAATAATCAATCACTCACTGTCCGCTATATAACGGAAACCAATGTCATATGGAATCGTATCACAAATATCTACACAAAATTGTCAAACCAGTAACAGTCACGGGTAACTTTTCAGTGAGATCAGCAAATATCAAAGCCAAACGAAGATGGTTTTTATCATATTCCAATTTCTCTACAACTCAGTAGCTGCTCAACAGTTACTTCATTTTATCCTTGTATATCTTGAAACTATTGTCCTGTGCATTCAAGCAAAATTTAGGAAGCACAGTTTCCTAAAATAGAAATTTTAAATCTATATTTTGGCAAACTGTCACGAAAGTTTTAGTTCTTGATACCAATGGAAAGTAGCATTCAATTACGAATCAAAATTAGTAAATTT